GGAAGTCCAGTATGTCTAGCCCTAGATTCTGCGTGTTTACCTGTGCCATTGGTTGTTGTCTCATTAACGAAGACCGCCACTGCTTTTCATATAAGTATAAAAATAAGGAGATTAGTATGATTGCTAATGAGACAATTATCCACCATAGTTCAAATGAAGTGGATGTAAGTAATTATAGGCAACCGTACAACCTTCAACAATGAAAAAACCCATACCGTATAGTCGGTTGTACTAGGCCCCGACATAAAAAATGTGAAATAATTCAAATAAGAAAACTAACGGCCTGATTTATAACAAAACAATTTACGAATAACAAATATAACAGACATGAACCAACGACAACCACTGAACTACAGGCTACTGACTTGGTACAGGCACAGAAAGAATATGGCGGTGTTTATATAAAAAGAAGATGTGGTATGATTGCCAATGAGACAACTCTCCACAAGAGACCAAATGACACAGAAATTAACAACTATAGTTCACCGTACGGCCTTCAAAAAGGAGTAAAGCCCATATCGCATAGTCAGCTATAAAAGGCCCCGAAATGACAAATGTAAAACAATTCAAACGAGAAAAACTAACGGCCCAATTTATGTACAAAATAATGAACGAAAAACAAATATGTTACACAGCTACAAACGACAACCACTGAATTACAGGCTCCTGACTTGGGACAGGCACATACATAATGTGGCGGGGTTAAACTTCTTTGAAGGCGCCAACCCTCCCCTAACCTGGGACAGTGATGTAACAGTACAACATCAGAACAAACTATAAAAATCAGTTGAAAAAGACTTAACTCATCAGATGGATACAAAAAGAAATACATATAACAAAAACACAGAGTGGACGTGGACGGGTACTTATAAATCCCCACAACAAAAAGACACTAAATACAGATCTGAGAATACTGGCAGTTACTGACAGCTAATTCAAAGCCAATACCAACCAATAAAAAAAATGCATCTAAGACTAAAATATGAATCAGTACACATCCAACATCCAATGGATTTAGTGTAAAGACGTCATAAACAGTCAGAGAAAAACATGACCATGTGCAATGTCAAGATACAGGTATCGACAGATTGTAGATTCATGAATGTGAATATGGTTATGAAAATAATATTTAATTTGATTTTTATTTACTAATAACAAAATCAATATTAATACCAGTAAAAACAATATTCAAAGATCTTATGACAGTGTTGAATTGGTAACCTTTTAGAATAAATTTATTTAAAGGTTCGATAAGTTTTAAGCATGTTTTTGAGCGCTCAACTTTCCCCCGTTACCTGGGACAAGGTCTTTGTTTTGTCAGCACCATAAAATGATACAAGACACCGTATTTTACAAATCCATTGATAAGGAAATCCACTACAAAGGAACCAATATTAGTTCTAGCGTATAACGCCAAAGTTGTCAAATATTTGACTGCATGGAATATTAGTTAGGTGTGATCGAAATTTACACAACATCTGTTTCAAGATCAGTTGTTAAGGATTAATCTGTAAAGCAGTGAAAATATAGGCAATCACGAGAATTCTGGAACCACCTCGACATGGCTAAAAATAGAACAGAGTAAAATGAAACTTTTGTCTATTATCTTGGAAATGGCTATTAATATATATAATCTGACATGACAGAAATGTTCAGAATGCTGAGATCTACCTACTATCGATTTACTAGCTAAAAAGAAATTTTATAAAGCAAAAAAGATCAACAAAACAAGATCCACAAATAAGACAACATGGCCAAAATCGTCAGTCGACTCTTTATTTGAGTGTTTGCCCTAGAATGACAATTTTCACTAATTGTTTGTGGTTTTGCCTTTTATCTTGAAAATTGTAATAGAGAAAGAAAGTTGAGTAGCAGCAAGACAAGATTTACAAATAAGTCAAATTGGTCGGAATTGCTTGTCAGCTCCATAATGATGATTTTTATCATTCTGTTTGTCTATTATCTTGAAACTGTAATGGTAAAATAGAAAAAAAGCAAAAATTGCCAGCAAGAAATAAATTCGGATGGATGCATACAGGTAACAATTTTGATAAACATACAAACTGAAAAAAAAAATATTAATAAGTATACCTCTAGAATAAATACATCATAACTGAAAAAAACTTAAGAGAGAGTAATACAGGTCGTTTGTTTTATAAGTTCAATCTTAACTTAAAGATATTTATAATTTTAAAAATCAATTTCCTTGCATTGTGTTCTTAGCTTGTATTTTCAAAGACTAAAACGCTAAATCGTAGAAATCAGACAGCTGAAAAGCAAAATAAAGGAAAAGTTAAAACGCATATCTGATTTATTTCTAGATTTTGCGATTTCCCTTTTTGATTCTCTAGTCGACATAGTTGATGAGGAATGTATCTTGTCGTGCTTTAATTCAATTGTCATGGTTAAATATACAGTTATGTAGCCTTCTAAGATTAACCCAAAGACGAAGATAAACCCATTCACTGCCCATCAACCAAAAAACCCACAATCGGGACTAAAAACATATTTTGACAATAATTATGTTGTGTAAACTATAATTTATGAACCTCTTAAGAAAATATATAGACAATAATAGTGCATTGACTTGACACAACAACGATATAAGAATGAGGCTTAAAAACGGGGAAAATGCGAGGCTCTGCCGAGTATTTTTCAACGTTTTTTTGCCGAATTCTTATATTGTTGTTATGTCAAGTCAATGCACTAGTATTGTCTTTATACTGCAATCTTTAATTTTTTTTGTGAACGAATTCAGCTGATTTTAGACTATACATATAAACAATAAACAATGGATACAATAATTTATAGAGTTTTTATCAACAGAGATGTACAAAAAAAATATATTTATTAGATAAATGTTTGAGAAATGAGTAAAAATTCTATCCTGCTTCACGATGTTTCCAATGTACATTTCATCGTGATTCCTGGTTGTAGGCGTGGCTAAGTATACAAGCAATATATGGTCAGTGACTATATATCACATGAAAATATACAGTCTATGCATTTTGACTGCTCAAATAGAACGAGTGTAGTATAAATATAGATATTGTCGTTGAATTTGCGTAAAAAATCGTTTTCCTACCAGATTAAAGTTTATTAGGAACGGTGACTGCCGTTTGACTGAAAGACAGTGAAATGGTTTAAAATGGAGTACTTCAGTAATATTACAAATCATAACAGGGAGTTTGTAAAGCAACGTGTATAGATTATTTTGCAAACATTGGTTCTGGAAAAATAATTATTAACAACAAAAAAATGGAAAAATGCGAGTGAATCGAACCAGTACAGATCTGATGAGAATTTTTTTTATGATGATTATTTCATTAAATTTTAATATTTCAATCTATTTTTTGTTTTTGCATGATACCTAGTTTTATATGAGTAAAATTAATCTTATGAAAAAGCAAATGAAATAATCTGCGAAGAAATAAGTCGAAATACAGACAATTCTTATGTAATATAGGAAGTGGGTGGGGAGTGGGGCTATTTCGCAACCTTTGGTAGTTGCTTTTAGTTCTTCACACGAAATTTTCCGAAATGTGTATTAAATTTAAATATATTTTTCTGGTTTTAAGTAATGGTGACATGCATGTTTAAGGGCCTCTCTCACAAAGACGGTCATAAAATTTCCTTTGCGCAAACTTTAGTACAACCTGTCCTTAAGATGACTACCAAACATTTTTAAGGGTGTGTTGAAAATATATCACTTTTCTAGGGTCTGGTAGTAAATTTTTCCGTCACAAAATGTTTCAGCATTTATTTTTCTCATATTTGGTCACATTTTGGCTTAGCAACCGTAATTCCTAAAAGTGCCCTTCAATGTATCTTATTTTTAAAATTAAGAAGCTATATCATAAGTTGGAACTTTTTTGGAATTTTTATTAAATGCTTTACTGGTTTTACCTTTATGTCTGACCCAAACTGGTTTGTCAACGGGAATATTGGATATAATTTTGAAATGATAATATCATTTGTCAAGATAGAGAAAAGCAATCATTGTTCTCTTTGGCAAGTTCACATTCATTGTTTCAGGGAAGATTGTTTTCACGTTTACGACGAACGTCAAGGAAGGAGTACGAGTAAAACGGTGTGATAAGTTTGTTTTTGATTTTGTATGTCCAACTTATTTAACAAAAGGTCGCATACAAAAGACTTTGGTTGAAAAAAACAAAGACAGAAATATGGAAATAACTAGAAACCATTACCCAGAAAAATAAACGCAAGGGCGTAATCGACAGATGTATGTCATTAAACTGTTATTTTCTGGCTGGAAGATGTTTTTTAACCTAAAGTATTAAATAATTAAAGAACCTTTGTGAGCAGGCTCACATACCCCACGGGCCCACATTGTCACTTGGCAAACAAAATCATAACAGATTCATAAGTTCAAAGACTCATAACGCCAACAAAAGTAAACTTATAAACATTTCTTGTGAATATGCACATCTACATATTATGTCCTTATTATCTTTAAAGTTTCATTCAATTCTATTGTGTGGTTTTAGAGGAGTTGCGATGACAAACTCTTGTAGTAGTATATTTAGGCTAAAATTCTAAGTTCAAAGGGGCATAATTCCTTGAAAATTATTTGAATCCTAATTTCCTGTCGACAAGCACATTTGCGTATAATGTCCTTATTATATAAAAAGTTTCATGAAATTCTGTTGTTTGGTTTCGGAAGAGTTGTGATGACAAACTGTTGCAGTAGTATATTTAGGCTAAAATTCTAAGTTCAAAGGGGCATAACTCCTAGAAAAATATTTGAATCCTAATTTCTTTTCGACATACACATCTACATAGTATGTCCTTACATATTATCTACAAATTTTCATGAAATTCTGTCGTGTGGTTTCAGAGGAGTTGCGATGACAAGAACAGGACTGGCGGACGGACTGACGGACGGACGGACGGACGGACTGATGGACGGGTCAAAAACATTATAACCTACGGAACAAAGTTCCATGGGGGTATAATAAAAATAGGAGATTGATACTTACCATGAAAGGGGTCCAACAAGCACTGAAGACAACGAATATAGCCACTAGAAATATTATGATGTATAAATCGTTTTTCTTTCTGCTACTTTTTACACTAGATACACTAGTTTTACGTCCGTTAGCATATGAACATTCTAAAGATTCGTTTTTAAGAAAAGCTATGACCAGTGTATTACAAACGGCCATAATCAGTATGACTAATAATATAGTGGAGGCATACAGAATACAGAAAGCTTTGTCACCTATTTCTTCAGAATGGATTTCGAAAAAACACCATGTTCCTGGAAACTGCACGTGATTGTGTCCGAATCCTATAATAGGAGAAACTCCAACAAGAACTGAAAATAGACAAATGAATACCAAAATGTAATTAATTCGTCTTGGAATGTTTTTAATTTCCTTTGTGTAAAAATATGGAAAGTAAACGGCCATCAGGCGGTCAACCGACATGGCACCCGCAATAAGGACGGTTGCCACTCCTGAAAATGCCATCTGGAAACCATAGAAGTCACAGAGTGGTTGTCCTCCTATCCACTGTCTGTTGTTAACATAAGTATACAGTGTGATCGGGGAAGTCAGTAAAATTCCTAACAAATCTGTGATAGCCAACAAGAACACGTATCTATAAAAGGCCTTCCATTTGTGATTTGGTGAAGACCTCCATATCACAATTATAGCAAATATATTCCCTACTACACCAATGGAAAACATTGAAGCTGATGACACTGGCGTAGCATTGGTGTAAACATTTTCGGTCGAAATATTACTGTTATTTTTAGTCATCCCTGTCAAGTAACTATAGTTCTGAAATTCTTTTAAAATTAAAGAGTCGTTATTAAATTCTGTATATCTGTTCATGTTTCTAGATATGAGTTTCACTAAATGACTTACTGATCAATAGCAGTAACTTTTGTAGTTACAACAATGCAGTGGATATCCAACTATGTAAAACGATCGACAATACTGACACAACATTAACTATAATATTGACTAAAGTTATGAATTAGTTTAATCTCATCCAGGTAAAACCTTTAATATTCCCAGAAAGATATGAAATAATCATGGTAATATTAGCTGGACAATTATACCAGTGCAAAAATTAAATATTGATTTTGTATGGAAGAATAAGAAACAGCTGATCCTAAATTACTCCGAAATATTCCTGAATATCCTCATAAAATACGGAGATCAGGAAAGCACGAGACATGTTATCAATAGTATAACGTAATTAGAAATTTCAAGCTTCTAGAGAATCTCTTACTTAAGATAGAATCTCCAATTTAGATCAGTGAGATAACAGTTGTTTATACTATTTATTTTTTTCATCGGGATTTTCATGTGAACAAATAGATTCCTAATTGCAGATTAAATTTGTTTACATTGCAATTTTTATCGTAAAATGAAAAGGAGTATATCCTATTTTCTTCATATTTTGTGAACTTTCACTCTTGTAACAGTTTGAACTTTCATATTTCAATATTTCCTTTTACAAGTCTTATAACGTAAAGATGGTTTTAACAATCAGGATTTGCAATATTGGAATACAGCTTATCTAAAATCCTTTCATTAAAAATCAATGAATACAATAGCATATAAAGTAAATTTAAATTATACAGCAACCAAATGCATAAAAATATCAAATGAAAAATGACACTTTATAAATTTAGAAATTACCCCCAGTTTAAAAAAATGAATCAGTTTCAAAAAGGATTATCAAAGAACTAACATCAACACTAAATTCTTTATATAACAAAAACATTAAGTTACGACTACAGATAGTCCGGGTTTAAATAGATCTCAACCCTCCCACTTTGATCCCAATCAATAGAATAGTAAAACGTGCAAGAAGAGTAAATACAGAAAAATCTTTTAACCCTATAATACTGTAAAAGTACAAGTACGACAACATTTACAATGTCACAGAATGATCGTGGTTACTGAAAACAAGAAGTACCGAACGAGCTGATATGAAATCATACCGTTCTGTAGTAACTGTTACTGTATTTAAGAATCCATTTCATACAGTAGCATTATTCATTAAATGTTTTGACGTTCATTTAGTGTTTTGTTAAGTGTTTTGACTTTATTGACTTTCATTCAGTGATTTTATTAAGTGTTTTGACTTTTCTTGACTTTCGTTATGTGTTTTGACCATCTTGACTTTTATTAAGTGTTTTAACATTTGTTGAGTATGTTGACTTTCATTAGTGTTTTGACTTTCTTGTCTTTTTTTCCTTTCATTAAGTAGTTTGACTTTTGTTAAGTGTTTTGACATCCATTTGGTGTTTTGACTTTCATTAAGTTTTGACTTTCATAAAATGTTTTGACCTTCATTAAGTGGTTTGACTATGTTTTAGTTTAAACAAGGTAGTAGCATTTGATTTTACTTTTAAATCGATGTTTACAGTAAATATGTGTATTGTAGGTGAATAAGTTCTTGTAGTTAGGATAGCTAAGTACATTTGCTTGTAAAGAAATCACAACATCATATCGTTTAAACGGTATAGATTTGAGTCAACGCTGTATGTACGAGAGTTTGTCAGTTACTCAGGCTAGGAAACAGGATCGGTATGAAAGTGGCAAAAGTGCAATATCCAAACTCAAAATTACATAGTTTGTTCATTATCATGAAAGATTTGCATTTAGAATCTACAAAAAATGCATATAACAATTTTATAATTGTACCTTTTGTATCAGAACGTTACACTGAACAACCCAATCTTCCTGAATAAATTTATGACAGTAAGCAAAAAAAAATCAGTTAAAGTGTCTATTCAATTACAACGATGACATGTTGTATCTGTAAATGACACAATCATTTTGGAAATTGTAAAACAAACAATGTTAACTCTTTTGAGGATCGAAATGAATGGAAAACGAAATATTACTATTTGCACAAGCACTTGCAATGGTAATACTTGGATCAAAGCCCAGTTTAATTGGACATATATCAAATGCTGTTAAAGGCATCACAAAACTTACGGAAATGTAACAATAACAAGAGATGACAGATATTATCGCAATGAAAACTGGCGAAATAAAATATTAATTGGAATGATTACATAACATAGTTATCAAATACCATTGTATAAAACATTGTGTCATTAATTGGTGATTTTATCAGTATTGTATATATTTTACATATCGCACAGTTCAGTAGCACTACGCTAGGTAAAATGGTAGGTACATACTATCTTTATCCGAAAAAAAATCAGTCAAATTTCCGTGTAGAGAAGAAAAACATTTTGTGAAAATATTGTCAATTTTGCGAATAAACGTATCTTGATTAAACAATTACAATTCTTGTAACTCGATCCAATTGTTGAAGTTAAAGAAAGATACGAATCATTATTTGATTTGAAATATCGAAGAATTTTGATAGAATTATATCCATGTGTTCCGAATGTATACTATAAATACAAAAAACTTCAGATGGTCATGAATAAATGAAAAAAGTACGATGTTAGAGAGTTAGAGTGCATGATTTCTATTACAACAAATCTTGAACTACTTTGAGCTAGCTTTCAGTAGTAAATAAATTATATTTTAAACCCTAATTCTCAGATGGGATAAAATATTAAGAGGTGCTCATTGTCATAAAGTACTTGCAATCTTGTTAGATTAGATTTAATGAAATCCAGACAGTGGTGAAAGATGAGTTGCGTATAAAAGATACATACATAAAAAATGGAGGAAAACTATTCTCTGAAAATCTTTTTGAGTGTTGTTTATGATCATTACGCATTAGGGATGCCTTTTCTCGTTGTTTGTAAATAATTTTTAAGTTTTTGTTTTGCCATGAAAGCCGCAAAAAATATTCAGATCCAAGATATAGAATAGATGGTGCACAATAGCATTATGTAAGAAGGATTCTGAGGAAGTCAGTCAGTGATTCAATAGGAATTACGAATATAAGATGCTTTCTCCTGTGGTGGATAATGTGAAGTTCATGTTTTGCTATTGTTATTAGAAATTTTGAATTTCAGTTATATCAAAATAGAATAAAAGGTGCTCGATGCCATTAAGCGCGGAGTCAGAATACACCTCGCTTCTCTAAGAAATAGTGTAATACGATATTTAGACAGGTATCCTAAAAAAGAAGTTGAAATGATCATCAATATATCGAGAGGCTTCATAGATGAAAAATATGTAAAATCCCCCGCCTGCTTCTCCTCTGCAATTAAAAAAGATGGGAAAAGAGACCAAGAGCATAGTTTATGTCAAGATAAGTATCACACTGGCTTTATAATCTGCATGCGTGGTGGGATTAAGCATGTAAGTCGGTGTTTTCCTATAGCCTTAGAATTTGATATCAAAACAAAACAGCTAACCATAAGAATAGATTTATTGATAATTAACATTAGTAACCAAGACAACGTCTAGAGAAAAAACAAAAAATACAAATTCCCTGTTACTGACATCCAATGGCAACCTTTATTATAAGGATGCAAATGTATTCACTTGATGCATCAAAAAGTCCAGACCTATTCTTCGTCTATGAATAACTACACCAAAGTGGTTTTAAATTATTGACATTCAATTTTTTTTAATTTTTCGATTTTGAAACCATTGGTTTGGAGATATGAAGATGACAGAATTCTTTTCAATCTTTCACTTTTGAGTATGACATATAAGACAAAAAAAGACATTTTTAGCGTGCACTACGGAAGCCCTGAAGGTACACAGCGCATTTTATTTCAATCATTGAATGTTTATCAGAGATCTATATTTCGGCTTTGTTTCGAGACTCAATTGAGTAAACCTATAGCTCGTTGTGTTTGATGAAATGTCCAATTGTTTGTCTGATATTTCGATTTTATAATTAGTTTGAGATTTCTATTCAGTTAAGCGACATTTCGAATTGCTTGTTCTAAATATGAATAAAAGAAAATCTAGATACATACATAATTGAAAAAGCAATTACTACAACTGGCTTGATACATGTACCTCTGCTAGTGGACTGTTAGAAGCTATTAACTGGCATTAGAATACGGATATTGTTTTATTCATATTTACAGTCATATAATTGTGGAAATAGTTCTAAGGAATATATCTCCATCACGGAAAGCTCTTATTCCTTGTCCGTGTTTGTTGTTCTTTTTGTCCTTTTTGATTTTATAAGCTCTTCAGCTTTAGTATTAGGTATTTGATTTTTAAATTTTTAGAACATCCCTGAAGAGGTATTAATTGTTGAAATACGAATCTAGTGCAGTAAAATTTGTACCGTTTATGGTATTGCCGGCACTGGGTCGATACCTCTGCAGGTTGAATGTAAGTCCCAGATACCATCGCCAGCCCAGTAGCCATTGTAGCCTACTTCGGTAGGAATGAAAAAATAACAGTTATTGTTTTATTGAAATTTTCTGTTATAAATTTGGAAATGCATGCATGATTTTAGGAATGTATCTCTATCTGCATACCTCAGATTCCTTGTATTAGGTATTTGATTTTTTTTTAAATATTTTGGCCATGTATCACTAAAGAGACATTGATTGTCGAATTGCTCATGGTGTACAGTAAAGTTTGTACCGTTAAGGATAATACAACCTCTTAGTCGATACCTCTGATGGTGGACTGTTTGTCCCTGAAGGTATTCCCAGCCAACTATCTTGTTCCTGTGAACAGCCATGAAAGTGCGATTATTGTTTTGTTGAAATTTGCTGTTTTAAAATTTTGGGAATTATAGCTATACTTCAATCTTTTTTTACTTTTACCAGCTCTGCTGCGTTTGATTAGGTTTTTGATTTTCAAATATTTTATTCGCGAGTATCACTGTACAGAGACATTAACCCTGGTGCAGTATATTTGCCACTGTTAAATGTTATCAAACATCCTAAGGTTAACATATTGTCTTAGATAACTGAAAAGAGTCTATGCCTTATGTCAAGTTCTAAATCGCCAAGAGCCTGGACAAGATGTGACGTTCTCTGTCTTT